CACCCCACTGTGGGGCGAATATATTCGCTATAGCCACTTCCAATAAGGAAATAATTAAATACATACATACATACATATGGGAGTAAGTAAATAAATTAAATTACCAACACTGTGAAATGTAGCCTACAGTGAAAATAAAGTTTACGTGTGTGATTAATTAGGCCAAGAACATAATTAGTGCATTCAATATCTTTTTAAATGCCACACTCCATTCTCCTTTAGCGACGTAGGCATACCCTGCCCATTCAGATACACCCACTAATTAGCAGAGACACTCGAGTCGGGTTACTTATTGCACACTGATGTGAAATATTAGATTTGTAGGCTAAATGCCTTTTGAACGAAACGTTGGACTATTAGGCTACGGTAAGCGCAAAGCACCTGACAGGGCTGCACCTGTTAACAGCAGAAGACACCTAACATATTTGTATGAATATTATTGGATTACATTGACTGCTGCAAACGCAACATCGTTCCCAACATAACAAACTACAAATCACATTCAAATACAGAAACTTGATAGCTCTTTAATATAGGCTATCCGGTAGCCTTACGCGCTGATTTTAAACATGCACATGCATTACTTCCAAAATCATGGGCTATCCATTTTGAACGGTCCTTTGTGCTGACCGTCAACAATCCATTAGCCTACCGTTACATCTTATATCCAAACGATAGCCATATATGGGTTAAATTCATCAGTGATAGTAGCAAGTGTGCATGTTCAACAGGAAACATTTAGTTTGGTGTTATCCTCACTGCTGAGATTTCCAGCTAATTTTTACGAGCAGAAAACGCATGCATGCCGCCCTCCGCAAAACACACACAGCTGAAGCTCCACCCATCACTGTGCCCGGATTAGTAGGCTACAGTCCACGAAGTCGCTGTTAAAACTTTACTTGTTCTGGAAATTACAGCGACATGGGAAGGAAGCTGTGCGAGTTCAGTCGTTGGAGGATTATGATACAGGGAATAAAATAGTTTGCTGCAGATATTTAGTTGCCACTGCGTGCTTTGAAAAGGTAATATTTGGCAGATATTAAGTGCGCAAAAGAAAGCTACCAGTATTATCAGAAGTAGTGAACTTGAGAGAAACGGACTTGAAGAGATGTTTAGATCCGAGCGGACGAACATGAATTTGGGAACTGCGACTCGTGGACGGGACCCTGACCACCGGCGGTATACAGTAAGTACTGTAAAAAGGGTGAAAATAAGCAACAGCTGATCGGATCTTGAAAGGGCTGTAGTTTCACCTGTGATGATATTTTGAATTTCATGCTCTGCAGCGTCGACTCTGGAATCTTGCACTTACGTGCATTCTCAGATGTCTTTAGTTAGCCCCGAATAATTTATTTAGTAATTACAGTATACCATAGCGCTGACTGTCTGTCATTCATTATCATTACACGGGTTGAACATAACATGTCCCAGTGACGTGATTTTTTTTTTTTTTTTTTACTATCTTCTTTTTGTCCACCATGACAAAGGTGGAAGGATGTCCTGGCCGAGAATCCCGTCTTTCTTTGGAACTCAATCCAAGAAAGAGGCTGTCTTCAGCAGAGGAAGCCTTGTGCGGCAGCCGGCCACCTCCAGACGGTGCTGGGTCTGTGACCATATCGGAGGCCGGTCATTTCGAGCAACGGGACCTGAAGGGGAACCTGTGCAAGCAATGTCAGATGAAAGTCGCAGAACTGAAGAGGCAAGCACTTGCGCTGGCTGATCCGGGGTCTCTGAAGGTTTGTTCAACCGTTTTGTTAACCTTACTTCTGTAAATTTTTTGTTCGCCTTCCAATACTTGAGCATTTCCAACGTGTTACGACAATTTTTTTCATGGTTATAAATCTGAATCTTGAGACAATAGGATCATGCGCACTATCAACGTGTGCGCATCTTTTTGACTCTTGATCCCTGAGGATTTTGCCTCATGTTATTAGATGAAGCTTTGCTGGGAGGTTGCCAACTCACAATATGTACACTTGGGGTAAACAATAATATAAAATGAAACAAAAGCATGAAGATTACTTTGATGGAGGCAGGTGACTGAACATGCTGTGAGTTTGATGTGCAGATGAAGCCCTTGTCCTAATTGCAGGCCTCAATCTTGCCTGCAGTGGCGATGAAACCCACCCTATGTGCACAAAGAATCTGTCTACTTCACTTTTTTTGTATTTCCTTGCGGGTTATAAACATTTGAGACAGTACCAAAACTTTAACTTATCACTTTTAAGAGCCACAATCCTAAGCCACACATACTCTCATGCATGACAAAAAAGTATTTTCTTGGTGAGATAGTGTAAAGAGTAACATCATCTGTTGCCTGTTAGCAACCTTTGGAATATTCATACGGAGTGGAAAAAGTAGTCGCTGCTGCTTTGTTTTTAATGCCTAATGCAGTGATGGCCAATCATATGCTCTGGAGGGCCAAGAGTATGCTCGCTTTCATTCCTACCGATCATTGCAGATTCCAAAGACCTGCTGATTTCACTGATTTGCACACCTTTGAGTAGAGAAGAGAGAACTAATTATCAGGGGCTATAATGATTGGTTAGAATGAAAACCTGCATACTGTGGGCCCTCCTTGGCACATGATTGGGCACCGCTGCTCTACTGTCTGAGGCCGCAAGACCAGGTTTACTATCAATACTCTTTACTGGAGTGAACTACTACTCCTGAAAGTATTTGTAAATTGCAACACAATCTCAATGTACTGATACGACTCCATGTACTGGGAGACATACTTTAATTTCAATTTTGGGTGAACCGCCTCTTTAAGAGTCCAGGCCTTCAGAGTAATACAAGGCCTATTTTCTTAATCTAAGTTCATGAAGCGGTCATAATAGAGACCTTTGGCTAAGCAGCTGGACTTGGTTGGCAGCTATTTAATTGCACTCTTATCTACCATTATTTGATATCAGCCTAGTCTTCTGCCCTGGCGCTCTTAATGTTGCCCCATTTCACCCTTTCAACCCAGCCTGATTGTTTTAACTCTTTGAAGGGTAGTTATTTCCTGCAGTTTTTTTTTTTTTTTCACAGTGCTCTTGCAGAGTGTCCTGGAACTCAGTTGGTTTGCTTGTCCAGTAATGGTGATTGTTTCATGGGCATTACAATATTCAGATAAGAACTTTCTGTTTGAGTAAGTTTGATGTCAAGGCAAAACAGGTTGAAATCCCATTTCTACTGACTACTATAATAAACTGTACTGAAATGTTCCTGGGGGATAAATTGGCATCTTGAGCCTTTAGCATTGCAGCTCTCTGTCAATTTACACGATTCCTGTTCATGTGTATATCATATTTCAGCGTCAAATGTTCTTTAAAAATAAGGACAGGTTTGCAAAAGCTGTGGTAGAGTGGCATCAGAACCCTGATTTCAGCACATTCTGCCATTCAGACTGTCAAATGCATGTTAATAGTCTTATGCCATACCGGTGCTTCTTTACCTTGAGAAGTTTGGACAAATTCTCGTAATTAATTTGTCATTAATTAACTGCGGATATCTTTTGCTCATCCGAGGCTAAGGTGGCCCACTGTAACTCAAATCACATTTCTAAAGTCCAGCCTGAGTCCCTAGTCAGCCTGTTTACTTTGAAATATGAGAATCTTTTGGTTGTCAGCCTCTTTTGTGCTACCTCACTGTGGAGGAATTTGCTTCCCATCAAAGTTTAGGCGAGTAGGTTCTGTGGAATATTCATGTGGGCACATGTGCATCTGCTGCTCTTATCAGAGGAGGCAGTCTGCTGTCCCAGAAGCGCTGGGGAATGTGTGTTGACTCCACGCTCTGTTAGTGGAACGGGACGCTGCGGCTCCTCATTTTGCTCATGTAGGCTTTATGAGGGCACACCAATGACATGGGAGTGGATGGCTTTATGCTCTGTGAAAGCAGAGAGAGCTTTGTCTAGATCTGTGGACCCAGGCACCCCTTACCATCCGCAGTTTGGGCTCAAACTCCAGTCCTGGAAGGCCACGGTGTCATCTGCTTTTCCATGTATTTCTGAACAAGATATTAATTTTATTTTCTGATTAATGCAAAAGTCCAAACACCAAGGTCTCAAAGCATTAATTAGCTGTTGATTGAAAGGAGACTGCCCAAAGCCAGCAGGCACTGTGGCCCCTCAGTACTGGAGGATTGGACTCCTCTATAGTCTATAGGAATGGGGTACAGGAAAGGCGTTTTTCATTATGTAATATCTGGTCCAACACTGTAAACCCAGAAATTTGCGGGGTGCTCAGATGTTTTGTGTAGCAGATCACCTCAAAAAATTGTGTAAGTCCAGCTTAATGAGCTTGTGTTCACAGCATTTCAAAAACATGGTAAAATAACTTTTCAAAAAACACTATGATTTTTAGTTCCCGCCCACTCACGGAAATTGAGTTGGCTTACCAAATTTTTTGAGTTACTCTGGCAAAAATGAAAAGTTGACTAAACATAAAAAAATCAGGCACCAGCTGCAAAGCATTTTTGTGTTAGCTCAACTTCAAGTCGTTCCACAAACTCATTTCTGAAAGAACTTGGAACTTCAAGTTAAGCTAACTGCAAAAAGGCTTTGCAGCTGGTTGTCTTACCTTTTTAAGTGTAGTAAACTTTCTTTTTTTTTTTTTTTTTTTTTTTTTTTAAATTTGGCATCTCAATCCCACCCGAATCTGGAATGCCCAATTGGTGAACTATGTACAAGGCTTGCTCGTATGCGACCCCTTGCTGCCAATTCAGGAGAGTGTAGACAGTTCGCGTCTCTTCTCCGAAGCACGCGCCTATCAACCACCGCTTCTTATACACTCATTGGTTGAATCTTCGCAAGTTCAGAACGAGGGCGGAGGATACCCAGACATGACCAGGCTTAGAATCTTCCTGACGAGCGCCCGTGTGGCCAACAGGAGGCGCTTGAGCAACGAACAAGGCAACTATTGTAATCCCTTCCGGTAGTCCCTTCCCAATTTGCAACCCTGTAGCGCTATAGCCAATTGTGCACTACTCTGAAAAAGCTGCCGACCACTGCCGGCTGGTGCGAAGCGGGGCTCGAACCCGCGACGTGATAGTCACTTCGACGCGATGCTTTACCAAGTGAGCTATCCGGCAGCTGGGTAGTAAACTTTCTATTTTTACCGTACAATCAGTTCCCCACAAAACATTTAAGTACACCACGCTATCTTTGTTTACAGTAGAGACTCCATCCATCCATCCATTTTCTTCCGCTGATCCGGGGCCGGATCGCAGGGGTAACAGACTAAGCAGAGAGGCCCAAGGCCCACAGTGGAGACTTACTCTACATTTTTGCCCAAGAAGCTCAAGTGCTTGAAAGTTGAAAAAAAAAAAATAAAGGAGCACTGTAGCATATAAAAACTAGTAGACCTGTTCCGCAATATTTTTTGGTTCAGTGAACTTAGAACTCTGGGGGCAAACGTTCCTGAAAGGAGGGACTGTGGAGGCCTTTCATTCCCAAGGCAGATGCTGTCTATGTGGGAAATGGCCCCTCCTGGTTCAGAGTACATTAGATGATGGCGGGTCTTCGGGGTGCACCTTTCTAGCTGGTTGGGGGGTCCAGCAGTACACCCCACTCATTTCTGAGGAGCCAAAGAGCTAAAAGTATGGGGCTCTTGTTATTGTTCCTCCCCTTCCCTCTCGCATTGTACTGGGCAGTCACAACTCCTATATAGGGCAGAGAGAGTGAGAAGTGTGGTTATGCAATTGGAGCTGCAAAGTCCTGAGGATGAGTGAGTCTGAGAGGCTATCAGATACATTACTTCAATAAAGTGTCAAGTCCGGTTATGAGAAGGAGTGGGAGATGAGGCCATAGCAGTCCGTCTGACTCCATCTATCTATTTATTCATTACTTCGCCAGCTTATTCCTGGTCTGGGTCGTGAGTGTAGAGGCTGGAGTTTCTCTGAACACTTAGTGGGTGCGAGGAACGAATACGCCGTGGGAAGTTTGTCATTCTTTCACAGGGTACACACAACATTCACTCACTATGGGCAATAAAGTGTCTCCAGTTAGCCTAACATGCTTGTCTTCAGACTGTGGGAGGAAACCGGAGTACCTGCAGGAAACCCATGTGAACTCGGGGTCAACATGCAAACCCCTCACAGAAGGGTTCAGGCTGGATTTGGACCCACACCCTTCTTGCTGTGCGGCAGCAGTGCCACACACTGCACCATCATGCCACCCTCATTCTAACTCTCAGTCTGCATTCAGAGAGCTTCTTACCCACAGCAACTGTTTGCCATTAAGACCTATTAGACACCGATGTGCTGTATTAGAGACTCTTAATTCCCTTAGGGTGTGCTGAGCAGGCCTGAATAACAGCCATTAAGGGTAATTTGAAATGTGAAAATATACGAGGCCAGTGCATCGTGTGCAAAAGCCTACATATGTGCCTAGACTACTACCCCCCCATCTAGACCCTGCCCTCCTTATAACATCGTCTCATTGTGTTCCACATTTTTTTTTTACACTTCTTACACTTCCTTTGCAAGCTTGTATTTATATGTTTGCTACTAAATGCCCATTAACAGTATGAAAGTTGTGTCTGGGAGGCTTAAATGCCTTTGGAAGTGGCCCATTGTTTTGGGAAACAATGCTTATCTCGGGGCTTTTTGGGGATGGGTGGGTCCGGTTGTTTGGGGGGGTTTAAGCAACCTGTAGGCAGCGGAGTCTGCGGAGGAAGTTAAGACCAGCTGACCTTCGCTGTTGCTGCGCATTGAAAGTGTTTCTGTCCACTTTGCACCACAATTCCCAGAGCTGTTAAATATAGTCCTCAGAGTTTTATTGTTATCACTGCCCCGCTCTTGCAGGGAAGGTCCCATACTTGGAATGAATTAAAGTTCCTCCTCGCAGAGGGAACAGCTCTGTTGCTGAGACCCTTGAAGTTCCAGCCTCCTTCTGTTTGGGAAGTAGTGTGACATGTGTACAATATCAACAGCAGACAATGTAAGATTCATGCTTATAGCTGTAGCTATGGTTAAGAAGGGTCCTGTGTTCTCCCCATGCTTATACCGACTTCCCCTCCATGGGAATGCTGTCTGAGCTTTCGAACTCACACCAGTTGCTCTCTCCAAGCCTCTAAAACTCTCTCCCCTTATGAATGCACATGCACAGGTCACACACAAATGCATTCATGCTGCAGTCACAATCAGCCGCACATACTCACACACACTCGCACACGCGCTCACACACACGCACACACGCAAACACACGCACACACACGCACATACACACACTCAGACACAAATACTCGCACTCAGAGTGTGGTCTTTCTCTGGGGGATGGAGGGCATGCTTCGTTTATTAGCTTCATGTTGATGGCTAAATTGGGCCCTAATTCTGGAGGTAAACAGCCCTGGGAGGGCAGAGGGCTTTTTTATGTTCTGCCCCCACAGTATCAGATTCCCCCAGCTACAGGAGAAAGGAGGCATTGTGCTGCCCTCCCAGGCCGCCCACCTGCGAGGTCGGCATCGCCGTTTGTGGCCGGTACTCACCAACCGTAACGGCTCGGCCTGAGGTAATTGGGGCTTGGCAGGGTGGGCGCGCTGGGTAGGGTTTGTGTGCTGTGCTTTCACTGCAGGCTTGGCCCCATTGAGCTGCAGGTTTGTTTGAATGGTAACTGCACCTTAGCTGGGTGAGAGGGGCAAGGTCAACTCACTTGAGAAAGAGGAGGCTCTTTGTATGCGTTTCCCCCGCTGGTTCTGCTGGGTGAGGAAGTGAGCGTGGCCCTTTTACCCTCTCTTCCAGTGGACCCATTGTCTGAGCGGGTCCTCAGCGAGTACAGTAGAACTTGTTGCGTGGCTGAGCTAGCGCTCTTAGCTGGATGTGTGGGAAGGAATGGCTGGGGAGATTTCTATCGAAGGACTGGGGGAGGGCGGGGGTGTTGAGACTGCTTGGATTGTCCTTCTGCACCTCACAGGATGATTAAAAAAAAGCCCACATAGCACACTTCAGCAGTGCCAGTGGTGCTACAGCATCATCGTCGTCGTCGTCGAGAAGCAGAGAGGGTGACTCATTGGCTTGGTGTGAAAGAGTTCCTTTCCTCGCCGCTTTCTCAATGGGAGGCTGGCTCTGTTTCAACACTCGAAAAGTCAGAGTCGCTGGATGCTCAGGCCAAAACTGGGAATGAGTTGATGCCTTGCGCTGTAGACTTGGTAAACAAATGGTCATAGCTGGGGCAAGGTTGAGCGAAAAGGATCACTTCATAAGCTAATCTTCAGCAGGGTGCATATTGAACAACAGGATCTTCTTTACGCTCTTTGACTTTTAAAACAGGAATTATGTAGTAAGTTCTTGCTATGTATGTATCTTTAGTATTTTGATTCAGTAATATTTAGTGGTTAAGATGACTTTAACAACATTTCAGTGGTTCACTTTTTTCTTGGTTTGCCTCTGCTTGCTGTGGAGTTTGTCCTTGAAATACGGCCTTCCTTTGAGCCGCACTGTCTGTGACTCTCTTCAGTTTTGACAGTCCAAAAGGCTCTAAATTTGCAGTCTCTTTCATTTAGGCAATTTAAAAAGGGTTATTAAAATAACCTGCCTTTAAACCAAAACTGCAGAGAGAGAGAGACGCTCAGAAGTTTCACAGACATGATGCCTGCCTTGCTCTAGGAAATTATCCCATCAGTATCCAGTTCCATAATTAACATCTGTAGTGTTGTCAGCATCTCAAATGACAAAGGAAAACAATGTTTGGTGCATCTAAAATTATATACCTGAGCCTTACACTGCTTGCTGTGAAATTGAGTTGAACATGGAAGTCATATGATAACATTAAAGACTAGTCACAGGTTCAAAGTAGGTCATTTCTTTTTTTTATGAAAACCACTGGATCTTTCAGCACAGGTAAAAGCTCGTCCACCTGCCTCTGAGCTGTATTTAATTAATGAAAATGGACTTTATTCCTTCTTTATTTTTTGCTCTAAGGGCTTCTCTTTAAAAGGGCCATTTTGTGGTGAGCGCAGAGGAAGAATTTTCTTTTGTTAGCCTTGTCAAGTATCTCATGAACGGGGCTAAAGTAGCTGTCATCTTCAAGAATCGACCATCAATTTTCAAGGCACAGGGAGCCCACCTTTAAAGTGGCCTGTGAAAACCTTTATTCTAAACCTGCCTCCATTTAAAGGTGGCTGTCGTCTTGAGGCTGCCTTTTGGACATCTGATATCGTGGCTGAAACCGCTGCCCTTCCTGTGTTCGGTTATTGTGCTCGTAGCTGCTGAATTATAACATCGCACACAAAAGGCAGCTTTCTTTGTGTGCAGTGTTATAATCCGATTGCTCAGTTATCATCGTTCTCATGTTCTAAAGGGCAAACTACCCCCCAGAAGCCTCCTCTTTACCCTGAGATATTGCCACATGAATCAGATGGACAATTGTGGGACGGCATTGGGGTATGAAATGCTCAGAAAAAGATATGACCCGTCACTGTGCTGGGCCAGGTGGGGAATATCACCATGAAAGCTGTGCTCATAGTTTAGTGCAATACATGACAGATCTGATCTAATTTACTGTAAGAGAGATGGCGCTCTTGAGAGAAAAGCCATTGAAGCCAATGAAATGTTACCACAGCCCAGAATTGGACCATCACCGCCATAGTGCAGGTCTCAGGAGTGATGCAAACCCAGGCCATGGTCTCTGAGGTTATGTGTCAACTCTGTGCTGGGTCTGTATCCTCCAAAGGTGAACCAAGACTTGGAAAATAGTCAACACTTGGGAACAGAGATGCCCATAAAGTTCCAATTTTGTATAAATGTTCACAGTTTTATTTTGAAGGACTTGAATACATTTTAGTTTGAATATTACCGTACACTGCACAAATAATTGGATTCACCTTCGGTGGCAATATGATGTGAATTTAGTCGAATGTATTTGCATCAAATTCACTTTTAACCCAAATAAGATTCACATATGATATTTGCGGATATAGTGAATATGGTGAAGAACTGTTGTGAATGATTCAATTCACTACACATTGTCTGTGGCTTTGCAGGAGGCAATTATTGAGTGAATGTGAAAATCACTCCATATTTCTCGCTTGATAATTTGTCACTAATATTAAAATGGCAATATATTTACTTGTGCAAAAACAATAAGCATATG